GGGGGGATCCCCTTGAGTTTGAGTCCACCCTGAACTACATACTGAAACCCTGTAACAAAACAAAAGAAAACACAAACGGAAGCGGAGATGGAGGAAAGGGCCAGGTGCTGCTGCTGAGAGGAAAACTAGCTGGGCTGGCTGCGGAATTGGAGTTGCGTCTGGACCCGTGGGGTCTCCAGGCTGAGGAGCGAAGGGCCCCAGACGGCCCCAGACAGCCCCGCCCAGCCCACATTGTGAGGTGGCCCAGGCTGCATCAGGGCCTGGGCCCAAGGGAGGGCAAGGTGGGGGTGGGTGGGGTCCTGGGCTCCCCCTGCCGGGGCCCAGCATGAGCAGCGCCTACCACTGGGAGGCCCTTGCACCGGCAGATGGCTCTGGACTGGAGGCGGAGGCTGCTGGCCCAGCAGGAGCAGCAGGTGCATGAGGGGCCCAGCCTGTGGGGCCTCAAACAGGAGGGAGGGAGACAAAGGCCTCAGGGGCTGCCTGCTGCCTGGGCTCGGCCAGCCGCTAGCAGACTCGGTGTTTGTTTCCCCTGCTGGGGATCGAACCCATGGCCTCACGCACCACAGGCCGCTGCTCTCATCATGTGCCCAGCCCGCACCTAGGGGGCTGTGAAGTCGCGCTGTCCCTGCTGTCACTGACCCTCAACGGCCACTGGCCTGTGTGCTGAGGGGCCCTCCTCTGTGGCTACTGAGAGGGAAGACCTAAATTTTATATTTTATATACATTTAAATACAAAATTAGAGTAAATATTTAATTGACATATTTAACAAATTTGAAGTACATTTGGTGCAATTTGGGTATATGAATCTACTTGTTTGGCTGTAAATTATGTGAAATCTGAATATAGATAAAATATTGTTGATGAAGCCAGAGTGGTGGTGATCCCTGTGGGGCCAGCCTGGGCAACTGAGCTACATGCTGTCTTGAAACAAAAAACAGGGCTGGGGATGTTGCCCAGTGGTACAGCACCCCTGCGTTCATTCCCAGTAATGCAAAAGGAAAACAGTTGCTGGGCATGGTGTGGGGGTACTGAGGATTGAACCCAGGGCCTTCCCACTGAGCCACATCTTCAGCACTCTTAAAAAATTTTTTACAGCTGAGTGTGGAGGTGCATGTCTGTAACCCCAGCACTCTGGGAGGCTGAGGGAGAAGAATCATCTTGAGTTTGAAGCCAGCCTGGGCTACACAGCAAGACCCTGCTTAAGAAAAAAATGTTTTTTGAGACAGAGTCTAAGTTGCCAAGTTCTCCAGGCTGGGCTTGAACTTCCAATCCTCCTGCCTCAGCCTCCCAGAGTGCTGGGGTGACAGGTGCATGACACCACACCTGGCTCAGTGTCCAAATGAGCATGTGCTATTAAGTGTAAAATGCATGTCGGGTTTTGAAGACTTAGTATGAAAACAAAAAATAGAGAATATCTGTTAAGCCAGGGACTGGCTCAGTGGTGCCGCCGCCTGCCTCACAAGCGCAAGGTCCCGAGCTCGATCCCCGGTACCAAAAAGGAAAGAAAGAAAATATCAGTTAATATTTTCATATTGATCCAGGTTTGGATAGCTGGTTAAATCACAGCCAGCTCACCTGGCTCTTCCAGTGTCCCCTGTGGCTGTCAGCAACTAGAGTTGCTCACGCGCCGGCGGACACTATTACTGAGCAGCACGGCAGCAGAGTATTTGCCAGGGACGACACTGTCCCCCGCCGGGCGCTCCAGTCAGGACGCGGGTGCCCCGCGAGCGCCCTCCCGGTGGGGGCTGTGGGGGCGAAGGAGGTGACGCTTGTGGGGGCTTCTCGCCAGGAGCTGAAGAAAGACAGGAAGGAGGAGGAACATCGCTCTGAGAAGAAACCCCAGCCACAGCCGGAGCCCGAGGAGCCTGGGCCGACGCGGGCGCAACTCCAGCGGCTGCTACTGCCGCCGCCGCCGCCAGGCCCCGGGAGACAGGACGCCCGGCCTCAGTGCTCCTTCCTGCCCAACCTCCAGGCGGGGCAGCCCCCCTGCGGGGGCCGCAGACCCCAAGCCTGGCCGCCCATCCTCCCCGGCCCCGGTCAGTGGGGTGCGGGGTGCCAGCCTCCCTGCCTCTGGTGGGCTCCTGGGAGAAACCTGAGCCTTCCTAGGGATGAGGGGCAAGGCCTCAGGCGGCAGAGGGGCGGGGCAGGCAGGGGCGGGGCTTCCCGCGCCCCCGCTGAGACTCCTCTGACCCTGGTCTGGCCCGGCACCTCGGCTCTCCTTGGCATTCAGTCACTGTGCTTGTTTCTGTCACCAGGCCTCAGGAACCCATGCCAGCCTGGACCTGCCAAAAATACCGGGTACTCGAGACTCACGGTGAGACGGGGGCAGCAGGACAGGCAGCGTGGCTGCAGTGCACTGGGGATGGAACCTGGGGGTTCGCTACCACTGAGCTGCATCCTTACCCTCAGGGCCTTGCTAAGCTGCTCCTTGGCCTCAAACTTGTGCTCCTCCTGCCTCGCGCAGGGCTGGGATTCCCGGTGTGTGGCACCGTGTCTGGCAGGCTAGTATTGGTTACAGCACTGGGGATTGAACACAGGTTCCTGGGCGCTTAGCTACACCCCTCCTGCTCTCCCTTTTTACCCTGAAACAGGATCACACTCAGTCATTGAATTGTCCAGGCTGGGCATGAACTTGGGATCCTCCTGCCTCAGCCTTGCAGAGTGCTGGGATGACAGGGGTGCACCTGCACGCCATGCCCGGATGGTAACTCTCAGTGAGACTCAAGTGGTACAGGCTTTGGAGAGGTCTAGGCCTCAGGGACCGTGTCCTGTGTGAGGTCTCGAGGGCAGCACTTAGGGTGCTGAGATGTACAGTGGGAGCCCCGGCTGTTTTGGATCCAGACCTCTGCAGCAGCATCAGGCCAGTAACTCAGCGCTGGCCTTGGGGCTCCTAAAGCCAGGAGCATTGTTTCTATTTTGCTTTATGCTCTTCAGAGCTTTCCTAGCTGTTTTTAACCCATTACTTATTTTTCCACTTTAGTTCTTTCCAATTGGAGGATTAGTTTTGACTCCTCCTGTGACCACAGTGTGTCTGCCTGCACTTCCGGGCTCTCTGAGGCCACGATGTCCTGCCTTTGCCCCACCTCCTCGGCGCCTCTGATCTTAGCAACTAAAGCCAAGGAGGAGGGAGCTCGGCCAGGGTTTGCTTGAGAGAGA